CCTGACCGCGTGGGGCTCGATGCGGGCACTCGGGCAGTGGCCACTGGCCAGTGGGGCAGGCGGGCAGCCGTGTACGCGTGGCCGCGTGGGGCAGAGCAGGGCAGCCGGGCGGGCAGATTCGGGCAGGTTCGATTTCAAGGTCATTCCGGGTTATTTTCGGGTTGTTGGGTCAACCCGAACCCGACCCGGTTTTGCAAACGGGTCGATTTTCCGGACCCGAACCCGACCCGCTTCGGGTTCGGGTCAACCCAAACCCGAAATTTTTGGGTCAGGTTCGGGTCGGGTCCAATATTGACAGGTCTATTGACATATATCATTACACATTTAATTTATTCATCACATTCTTTACTTCTGCATATTACTTTGTTTGTTACATTTATTGCTTCCATTCAGTGGCGGAGCTACGCTCGGGCCATTGGGGCACAAGCCCTGACTGGCCCACCAAAAAATGAAGGAGAGCCACACAAATAGCGCAGTCAGCTGAACGGGTTTGGGCTTGTAGTGAAAATACAACTGAAGGAAGGCTATTAGTGATAAAGGGGCTTGGCTTCCTGGGTGGCAGCGTCAACTGCACATGATGGAAGCCGACATCGAGACTAGCTTGGCGGTGTGGGCAGAGTAGGATGGCGACAGAGATGATGAGGAAGAAGACGCCGGCTAGTAGGAATGACAGGTGACGAGTGTTTTGAAGAAAAGGGGATTGCAGAGGATGAAGAGGTGTTGGGTTACGGGCTTGGAGTTCCATTGATGGATATAATTTTTTTTCTTTTTGTGGAGGAAATTGGAATGGATATTGGTTATTGTTTTTATAGCAAAGAAATTTAAGTGAATTGGTTACAAATATTTCTAATTAAGATGTATTATATCATAATATTTTAAGATAAGTTAGATCATTATGAATAAGTTAGATGATTATGAGCCTTTGATAAGCACACCTCCGCCTGCCGCTTTTTGCCTAACGGCATTATCTTCTACATAAGCCGGTCTTGTTGTGTTCATGATATGGAGACGTGGGAGCAAATTTCATGGGATCAGTTCAGCTAGCTTGACTAAACACAATTTCATCGAAATGCTTTTGTGCATGTGATATACATATCATATTATTTGAAAAATTGATTGATTTATAACAAAGTGTTATATCCAAACATTTTTTAAATTTAAAGCTTTAATTTTTATGATATAATCTAATTTTTTAAACTTATTTGATCATGGAAATAGGTTTAAAATTAGGATCAGGAAAATTTAGAAATGAACTTTAGGGACCAGTTCAATTTTTTTTAAAAAAAAAGTTAAGTGTATAATTTTTTTTTCTAAATATTTTACTTATTAAAATTTTAAATACAAATCAAGAGTAATTTGAAAATCTTTAATTTGTGCCTCTACTAATAAAATTCGTAAGGAAATGTTTAAAAGAGAAAAGATTACCAACCAAATATATGAGCCATCTTGCTTGACGCCACCATCAAAGCCCGCCCCACTACATGGGCCAAGGGCCTAAGTAGATCTATTCGATTAGCCCGGAGGAGAGATCACGTCTCAGGTGAATTGAGGGCTAATTTCGCTCATTTGATGTTCGCATTGATTTGAAAAATTATGTTAAGATATAAAATATAAAAAAAAAACACATTTTATTCCAAAGAAAAAACAAGGATTACAACACGCTTAAAAACGGGATGAACAAAGCTACAGGGATACAAAAGGGGTAACAACCCATTAGGCTCAGTATTAGGCAGAGGCTTCCAACTACTCCGAATCCAGGCTATCGGTCATCCAGTTTAGAGTGAGAGCAGAACCGCACCAAGGAACCAACCCAAACGAGCAAGAAAAGCTCCACCAAAGGTTGCCACGAGCCATGACTTAAGAGAAGTGAGCCCTAGCCACATCATTGCCCACAAACTAAAAAACGCAACCTCAAAATTAAAACGAAGTTCCCTTAAAACCACAACCACCAAAAGAAAAAATAGTTCATAGTGTCTTCCAACCAAAGCAGGTCACAGCCAAAAACCAACACCACTATGAAACCACCCAGTATAGAAAAGAGCCAAAGCTAACTAAAAAACTGCACCCCAAACCCAAATTTATCTCCTACCACGTCTACCCCTCCCACGAGAGGAGACGGACACTATAGGATGATC